ACCCATTTAAAAACCCAACTCTTTGTGTTTTTTTTTTTTTTGTCTTTTTGAAGCAGGGTTTCCCTGTGGCCCCAGCTGCCCTGGAACTCACTATGTAGACCAGGCTGGCCTTGAACTCACAGAGATCCGCCTGCCTCTGCCTCCCAATAAAATAAAAATTTTATTATTTTTATTTTATATGTATTTGTGTATTGCCTGCATGTAGGTAAGTGTACCCATGTTGTACAATGCCTGTGGAGGACGGAAGAGGGTGTCACTGAGTCTTTCCAGCTCTTTATATGTCCAGAATGTTGTTATTGGCAGTCACCCTCCTGTGCAACAGCACACCAGACTTGCTCCTGTCTAACTGTAACTTAGTGTGCCCATTGATAGCCTTTCCCTGCCTCTCTAGTTTGCTTTCTATTGCTGTGATAAAACCCTGACCAAAAGCAACTTGGGGAGGAAGGGTTTATTACGTCTTGCAGGTTATGGTTTGTGATGGAGGGTAGACAGAGCAGGAACTCAAGGCAGAAATCTAGAGGCAGGAACTGGAGCAGAAACTATGGAGGAGCGCTGCTTACTGGCTTGCTCCACTGCTTTGCTCCCCGGCTTGCTCAGCAAACTCTCTTATACAGCGCAGGCCCACCTGCCTAGGGATGGTACTGCCCACAGTGGATGGGCCCCCTGCATCAATTATCAATCAAGAAAATGGCTCACAGACATATCCACAGGCCAGGCAGATGGAGGAAATTCCTCAATTGAGGTTCCTTCTTCCCCAGTGACTCTATAGTTTGTGTCTAGTTGTTAAAAACTAACCATCATGAAGTCTCCTTTCTTATATTCCCAGCCTCTAGCAAGCAGCTACTGATTTTTATTCAACTTCTGTTATCAGCCTTTCTACTGGACTCTACACATGAATGGGACTGGGTAGCACTTGACTGTGTGTGTGCCTAGCTCATTTCACTGACCATATTTATCTCTTGTGCTCACCAGTGGCAGTATCTCAATCTTTTTAATGGCAGAGTAGTATTCCTTTGTAGCTGTGTACCACATTTGTTGTACTTGATGGGCACTCCAATTGCTTTCATTGCTTTGCTCTTTGTGAATTGTACCACCGTGAATGTGGGAGTGCAAGCCACTGTGAGTGTGTGGTGCTGGGAATCAAACCTGGAACCTCATGCCTGCTAGCCAAATGGTCTAACTACTGGGCCTAATCTCTAGCTTGGCATGTCTACATTTTTTAAAAGGTTCATATTTATTTTACATGTATGAATGGTTGCCTGTATGTATGTAGGCGCACCACATGTGTACAGTGCCCACAGAGGTCAGAAGTGTTGGATCCCCTGGAACTGGAGTTATAGATGGTTGTTAGCTGCTGTGTGGGTACTGGGAACTGAACCCAGGTCTTCTGTAAGAGCATCAAGGGCTCTTAACTATTGAGCTAGCTCTCCAGTACCCCCTCCCCATTTTTGTTTATGTATTTATGTATTTATTTTGTTTATATTTATGTATTACCTATATATGTAACATTTGTATGTGTGTGTTTGCCCATGGAGGCCAGAAGAGGATTTCGGATCCTCTGGAGCTAGAGTTCCAGGTGATTGTGAGCTGCCTGATGTCAGTGCTGGGAACTGAACTTCTTGGGTCTTCTAGAGGAACAAGAAGCTCTTTCAGCCATCTTTCCAGTCCCTGGCATGTCCAATGTTAACAATAAATTTCAGCATTTATTTTTCTTTAGTAGATTTAAAATCTTATTTAAAATGATATCTTGAAAACATATTAAACTATTCAGAAGACTTGTTGGCTCTGCAGATGTTTTGTTTTCAGGACCAGGAGAGATGGCTCACAATTCCGAGTGCTTACTGTGATTACAGAGAGCATGGGTTTGGTTCCTGCTTGCCATAGTCCGAAATTCCAATTCCAGGGGAGCAAGCACCCTCTTCCCACCTCTGAGATCATCCCCACCCTTGTGCACTTAAAAATTCACACAGGGAGATATGCATACACATAAATTAAAAAAAAAATCTTTAAAAAATTTCATTTTTCTTTGAGGTTTCTATGTGAATATCAAGTGAAAGTACACAGGGATAACTTAGGAGCCTTTTCTTTTTGCCAATAGAATGTCACATCGTCTCCTCAGTACTCTACATTCCTGGAACATATCATCCCTCGGTTTCTTACATTTCTCCAAGACGGAGAAGTCCAGTTTCTTCAGGAGAAGCCTGCCCAGGTAATGTTACATCCTAGCCCGGGGGGGAAACATGTGAATCAAAACTGTACAAAAACCCTAAAGAATGAAAGTAAGGGTTGGAGAGCTGGCTCAGCAGTTAAGAACACTGGCTGCTCCTGCAGAGGACCTGGGTTTTGTTCCCAGCACCCACATGGCGGCTAACAACTGTCCATCTGTGATTCCAGTTCAAGGGGATATGATGCCCTCTTCTGGCCTCTGCTGAGATTGCATGTGTGTGGTGCACTTACATATGTGCAGGCAAAACACACACATAAAATACAAATAATGAAAGAGCGAGGTTTTGTCTTTGCAGAGTAACTATCCAAGACTATGGCTCTGGCATTTGCCAATTAGGAATGTGTGTATGTCCATGTTACTAGAGGCAAAATACCAAAGAGCCATCTCTTCAGCCCCATTTCTTTGTTCTTAAATCTGCTTTGCTGTTTGTCTTTGATTTACTCTGTTCTCATGGTTTAGTTTTCTGGTAGAAATACCAATAAAGCTGTAAAAGAGGAAAAGTTACAGAAATACTGGAAACAGTTTCATACATACTCAGATTCTGTATAATTTGGAGGTCTCTTTATAAAGTTAGACCCATCTCCTTGGATGGTGGCGATCCACACTGGCCACAGGCAGATGTGTAACATGTGTATGATGTGAAACAATGAGTTTGGAACGCCTGGGTGTATTTTATTTTTACACATGTATTTTCACTTGCCAGCAACTGCGGAAGCTAGTACTTGAAATAATTCATCGGATACCAACCAATGAGCATCTTCGCCCGCATACAAAAAATGTTCTGTCTGTGATGTTTCGCTTTTTAGAGGTAATCTTTGAGAGTTCTCCAATAGCCATATTTGAAATGTTCAATGATTTTCTTAAAATAAAATCTAGAGGTATTTTACAGTTTACTAACATTCTGAAATAGTGAAAAAATTTTATTTTCTCCTTTCTCCCGTTTCTATTTATTCAGAAAGATGAAAAAAAAAAATTTTTTTTTTTTGAGAGGGCCTCACTGTGTAGACCAGGCTGGCCCCTATCTCAGAGATCCGCCTGCTTCAGGCCACAAAGTGCTGGGATTAAAGGCATGAGCCACCATAACAGGAAGGCCTTAAATTCTTGGGGTGAATCCATTCATTAAATTTTTCTGTTTCATCTTGATGTGTTTAAAATCCTATTATTTGTGGAGCCCCTTAGGAAGATGAGCTCTGATAGGGGATAAAATTGTATTCATACTTTGGCCCTGCCACTCACTGGCTCTTCCACATTGGCCATGTTGCCTAAAGTCTCTGAGGCATCAACAGCCTTGGAGGTAAAGTGGCTGGTCCCTGCAGTAGTGTTGTCATGTTCTTCCCACCCAGTCCAGTTCATGGCAAGTGTCTACAATAGCGGGCTGTTTTTCTTCTCAGTCTTTTAGCAAAACAGGTTGAGGATGCCTTACCCAAAATCCTTGGGAATGGAAGTATTTGGATTTTGGATTATTTTTGAATTTTTGGAATATTTACATAACCCTAACTAGATATCTAGGGATACAGCCCAAGTCTAAATGTGAAGTTCTTTGTGTATTGGTTACACCTGCAGCAAGCAGACTGGAGGGACTTTACTGTAGGATTTTACTGTGTCTGTTTAACTCCGGTCCCTTATGTGAAGTCAGGCCAGTTGTGGTATCCTGTCAGGTGCTTAAAAAATTGAGAAATTTAGAACATTTGATTGAAGTTTTGGATTTTTAGATTAGGGATACTCAACCTTTGTTTCCAAGCAGTGAACTTTGTCAGTTTAGCCCTTAAAACATTGATTCACACTGGGCATGGTTAAACACATCTTTAATCCTAGCACTCCAAGACCAGGACAGCCTGTTCTATATAATGAGTTCCAGGCTAGCTAGGAACTTACTACAGAGTGAGACCCTGTCTCAAAAAACCCAAAACAAACAACAACAAAACATTAATTGAGGACTGAGGATGTGGCTTAGCTGGTAGAGTGCTTGCCTAGTGTGCATGAAGTCCGGATTCCACTCTTAGCACAGTATACATCAGGCTTTGGGAAGCTGCAGTCCCAGCATTGAGGAGTTCAAGACCATCGTCAGTTGCATAGCAAGTTCTAGCTCTGTGAGCTGCATGAGATCCCATCTCAGAGGCAGGGGTGAAGGGCGGGGGATGGGGGACAGTTCCACAGTATGCCTTACTGTGTGTCATACATGCTAGCTTCGCTGTCTCAGAGTTACTGTCAGCTTGCTGGTGGGATGCTGTGCTGCTCAGGTGTTTCACCAAAGACCCTGGCATTTACTGTCTGGGACAGCTGAGTCCTGGGGCTTACAAATTTTTAGTAAATCAGATATGAACTGGTTGATCCCAGGGTGTGTGGAGGGTGGGAATGAAGATTATACTTAGAAAATTTTGACTTCAGCTGGGCATGGTGATGGACACCTTTAATCCCTGCATTTGGGAGGCAGAGGTGGGCAGATCTCTGTGAGTTTGAGGTCAGCCTGGTCTACAGAGTTCCAGGCCAGCTGGGGGCTACAGGGAGACAAAAAGAAAAGAAAGAAAATTTGGCTTTAATCTTGAGATGAAAATGTTTGCAGGAGTTTAACTTCTTTAATTTTTTTTTAAAGACGGAAAATGAAGAAAATGTTCTTATTTGTCTAAGAATAATTATTGAGCTACACAAACAGTTCAGACCACCAATCACACAAGAAGTAAGTTGTTTGTGTTATAACACTTAGGAAATGCCAACAAGATTCCTATTGCCGTGTAAATCTTAAACTCTTATTTTAGATTTATTTATTTGTGTGTATATGGGTGTATATGTACCACAGTGTGTGTGTGTGTCGGTCAGAGGACAACTTCAAGGAATTGCTTCTGTGTTTGGTCCATGTGGGTCCTGGGGATGGAAATCAGGTCATCAGGCTTGGCACCAAGGGCCTTTGCCAACGGAGTCATCTCACTGGCCCTGCATATAATATTTAATGTCACAATTGCTTTCCTTTTTACTGTAGGTCAGTATTTCCCTTGTCAGAAGTTTTAATGAGTGTATGATGCTTTCTTTGTTTTCTTTTTTTAAAATATTTTTTGTTTATTATTTTTATTTTATATGTATGAGTTTACTGCCTGCATGTATGTGAGTGCACCCGTGTCATGCAATGCTGCGGAGGTCAGAAGAGGGCTTTGGATTCCTCTGGAACTGGAGTTAAGGACAGTTCATAGCCGCCATGTGGGTGCTGGGAATCAAACCTGGGTCCTCTGCAAGAGCAGTCAGTGCTCTTAATTGCTGAGCCATCTCTCCCGCCTCAATGCTTTCTTTTTTTATAAAAATATTTTATTTTGTGTGTGCATGTATAAGCACATACATGTTTGGATACCCACAGAGGTCTGCAGGGATGTCAGATGCCTTGGAGCTGGAGTTACAGAGTTGTGAGCCACCCAGTGTGGGTGCTGGGACCCAAACGTGGGTTCGCTGATAGAGTAGTAAGCACTTTTAACAACTGCTAAGCCGTCTCTCCACCCTTGATAACCTTTCTTATTAGATGTCCTTATCTCTAGATTCTTCAATTTTTTTTTTTCTTGATGGTTATTACCAAATTTTTTTTTTTTTTTCGTCTTTTTGAGATAGGGTCTCCTTGTAGCTCCAGCTGTCCTGGAACTCACTATGTAGACCAGGCTGGCCTTGAACTCACAGAGCCACAGAGCCTCTGCCTCCCGAGTGCTGGGATTAAAGGCGTGTGCTACCACGCCCGGCTAGTTAGTACCAAATATTTTTCTTTATAGTTCACATTATGTGATTGACTAGGTCTGTAGAAGTAGAATTATCAAGTCAAAGGTCAGTTTCAGTGCTTCAGACATAAATTGCCACGTTGATTTCTAGAAAAGTTTTGGCAGTTTGAGTCCCTCAGTAGTGAGTCTCTGCCTTTTCACATTCTAAAGCGTTGTGCATTATTTTTATTACTATTTTTAATTAAAAATTCATATAAATGGGTACTCTTAACTGCTGAGCCATCTCTTCAGCCCTTTATTATATATGTATTTTTAATATTTATTATTTTTATTTTATGTGTATGAGTGTATTGCCTGCATGTAGGTAAGTACACCCATGTCGTGCAATGCCCTTAGAGGACAGAAGAGGCCATTGGATCTGGAGTTATGACAGTCGTTAGCTGCCATGAAGGTGTTGGGATTCAAACCAGTTCTTCTGCAAGAACAACCAGTGTTCTTAACCACTGAGCAATCTCTCCAGCCCTCTTTATTATATTTTTTATTATTTTGGGGGCAGACCACACACAGGTCAAAGATACCTTACAGAAGTCTTTCTGCCATGAGAGTTCATAGGATCAAACTCTCTTAGATTTGTGCTGGAGAGATGGCTTACTGGTTAAGAGCACTGACTGCTCTTGCAGAGGACCCAGGTTCAGTTTCTAGCACCCACATGGTGGTTCATAACTGCCTATAACTCCAATTCCAGGGGATCTGACACCCTCTTCTGGCCTCTGTGGGCACTGCATTAATGTGGTGTGTCTCTATATATATGCAAGCAAACACTCATACACATAAACTAAAAATAAATCTTAAGTGGGGCGTGGTGGTGCACACCTGTAATCCCAGCACTTAGGAGGCAGAGGCAGGCGGATCTCTGTGAGTTCAAGGCCAGCCTGGTCTACATAGTGAGTTCCAGGACAGTTGGGGGGCTACAGGAAGACCTTGCTTCAAAAAGACAAAAAATCTTTAAAAAACAACAAAAACTGCTCATTTGGGGTGTGATGCTTGGTGGCAGGTGTCTTCACATGCTGAGCCATTTTGCCAACCCTGATTCTTTACCTGTTTTATGAGGTCTCTTTTTTTTTTAAATTTCTTTTCCCTTTATGTGTGTGTGTTAGGGTACAGGTATACACCACATGAATGCAATGCTTGTGGAGTCCAGAATAGGGTGAGCCCTTGGAACTAGAGTTATAGTTATTAACCTCCATGTGGAGCTGGGTCCTCTGCAAGAGCAGCCAGGGCTCTTAACTGCTGAACTATGTCTCCAGCCCATTTTATGAGGTCTTATACATTAAGCTAGTTACATTTTTTAGCTATAAGCATTGTCTGCATGTAAATTCATTTTTTTCATAGTTATTGTGTATATGCATGTGTGCATGATGTGTGTACATATATGGGGGGTATGGGTTCATGTGCCGAGGCATACGTGTGGAGGTCAAAGGATGACTGTGGTAGTGGTTCTTTCCTTCCAACTTTATGTGGGTCCCAGGGTATTGAACTTAGCTTGCGTGACATGCATTTTACCTGCTGAGCCATCTTGCCTGCTCTGTATATATGTTTTTATAATGAAGTGTCTTCTATTTAGATTCATCACTTTTTGGATTTCGTGAAACAGATTTACAAGGAGCTTCCAAAAGTAGTGGTATGTTTTTGTTACAGTTTATTATTTTGTCTTTTTGTCTTTTTTTTTTTTTTTTTTTTTTGAACCCAGGGCCTTGGGCTTGCTAGGCAAGCGCTCTACCACTGAGCTAAATCCCCAACCCCTTTGTTACAGTTTGAACTTCCTACATACATTTATTTATTACCACCTGTCCCAAAGGGGTATTTGGGTTGTTTTGGTTGAAGAAGTGATTGGGGAGGGTACTGATTTCTGAATGGGGAATATTAAGCACAGTCAGAGTCACTGTTTGCCTTAATTGCATTCTTTTTTGTATAGAACCGCTACTTTGAGAACCCTCAGGTGATCCCTGAGAACACGGTGCCTCCCCCTGAGATGGTCGGCATGATAACGACAGTTGCCGTGAAAGTCAACCCTGAGCGCGAGGACAGTGAGACCCGAACGGTAAGCGCTTCCCCGTGACTTCTGAAGGTTGTAGAGGAGAGAGAATGAGATGCCTCAGACCACTTGACTTTTCCCCTTTTTAAAAATTATTTATGGGCGCCGGGCATGGCGGTGTATGCCTTTAATCCCAGCACTCGGGAGGCAGGGGCAGGCAGATCTCTGTGAGTTCAAGGCCAGCCTGGTCTACAAAGCGAGTTCTAGGCCAGCTGGGGCTACAGAGACCCTGTCTCAAAAACAAAACAAAAACAGAAAAAATTATTTATTTTTATTTTTGTGTATGAGTATTTTGTCTGCATGTATGTGAGTGCACCCATGTTGTGCAATGCCCATGGAGACCAGAAGAAGGCATTAGATCCCCTGGAACTGAGTAATGGACCAGTGTTAGCCACCATGTGGGTGCTGGGAACTGAACCCTGGTCCTGTGCAAGAGCAGCCAATGCTCTTCACTGCTGAACCAACTCTCAGCCCTGGGGTTTCCTTTCTCATTTCTGTAAATATTTGGAAGCATAAAAGTGTACCTGGCAGAGCATCCCTGGTTCTGCTACGAAAGGTGTGAAAAATGAACCCTTGGGTACTAGTGATGTTTGGCAATAAAGACCAACTTATTGCAGAGATCTGCTTGGGAAGCCAGGCATGGGGGTAAGGGGTGCTCTGCTCTGCCCATAGCTTTGAGACTGACGTCCTTTGAAACTACAGGTAAATTTGAAGTTCAGGGATCAAGAGTGTGGACAGTGGCATCCCCAAGCTGCACCTGTTTTCCTGACTCTGGAAGAGTTCATGAATTTCATGAACTTTCACTCAAACCTTGTTTTACTCGTTATTATATTGAAATTCTATGTCATGGGCTTTGTGAAGATAACACTAATAATAACTGCAATTGATGAGTTGGACTGTTACTGTGGTGTCTGTCATTTAGGGGCCACACAGTGAGCCTTTACTGTGACCCATTCTTAGGACTGGATTAAGGTTTTATTGCGGCTGGGGATATGGTCAGTTGGTTTCGTATTTGCCTAGCATTCATGAAGCCCCAGGCTCCATGTTCAGCACCTCATAAACTAAACATAGTGACATACAGCTGTAATCTCAGCACTTCTGGATGGGTAGAGGATGAATACTTCAGAGTCATCCTTGGCAAGTTCGAGGCCAGCCTGGGCTACATGAGACCCTGTTTTAAAAAGAAAAAAGTGTGGAGTGTGGTGTTGCACACTTTTAATCCCAGCCCAGTACTTGGGTGGCAGAGGAAGGTGGTTCTCTGTGAGTTTGAGGCCAGCCTAAGCTGCACAAGAGTTCCAGGCCAGCCAGGACTACATAGTGAGACCCTGCCTTTTTTTTTTTTTTTTTTTTTTTTTCCAAGTAAAAGGTTTTATTGTTTGTATTTGTTTTACTAAAACAGAGTGCTTTTGCTAGGCTGAAAGAGACTTAAGGGTTTTTTTGGTTTTTTTTGAGACAGCGTCTTCCTGTAGCCCCAGCTGGCCTGGTACTCGCTATGTATGTAGGCTAGGCTGGCATCAATCTCACAGATATCCGCATGCCTCTGCCTCCAGAGTGCTGGCACTAAAGGCGTGTGCCACCATGCCCCACCACGCTTAAGTTTAAAGTGAAGCTTACATGCCTTCCCTTTTCTTCACTTAAGGACTTTTCTGTGTATCATTCCTTTGTGGGATTTTGTTTATTTTTACCTGTATATTCACATCTATTGACAGTTTATATTTTGGATCTGTCATGTTTCTTTTCTGTTTGAGAATACTTAAGATTATTAAGCTTTATATTTACAATAAGCATTTTCTACTTATAAATACCATTGAAAAACAACTGTAAGGTAAAGTTGGGCCTGGTGATCCCATCTGTCCTCCAGCACTAGGGAGGCTGAGGCAGGAGGATCACTGCAAGTTTGAGGCCAGCATCATTTACATAGTGAGTTTAGGTCAGTCAAGGCTATGTAGTGAGACCATGTCTGAAAACCAAGCCTCTGCTTGCCTCCCAAACTCTTTAAGTGAACAGATTTCTAGGTGGTTTGAGTGTGTTTGATGGAGTGTCCCTGAGATTCTACCTTCCATGAAATGGCAGTTCTGCATAGGTAGATAGTTGGGGCCTTCTACCACAGGGCCTCACAGAAATGGGTCCGTGTTTCTCTGAGCTTTGTGTAGTGCTTGTTGGAATTAGCTGGGGCTTTCTGGGTACCACAGGGCTAACCGACATCTCTGCATCTTACAGCACTCCATCATTCCACGGGGATCACTTTCTCTCAAAGTGTTGGCAGAACTGCCCATTATTGTTGTGTTAATGTACCAGGTATGTGTATTGCTTATTACTATTTCTCTTGTGTTTTGCTTCTTCATGTGAAAATTCATGCTTAATTTTTGTAGAAAAAAAAAGTTTATGAAACCTGGGTGCTCTGGAGTGCCAGATCATTCTGTGGTAGTTGAATGTAAAAGCTCAAAACACAGCTGTATTTCTTTCAGCTCTACAAACTGAACATCCACAACGTGGTTGCCGAGTTTGTACCCCTGATCATGAATACCATCGCGATTCAAGTGTCAGCACAAGCCAGGTGAGTGTCCCTCGGACCCTGACAAAACTGAGGCCCCAGTGCTTTTCCAACTAGTACAATGCTTGCTGCTGCTGTTCTAGAGACGTGAGACTTACGGGTGTTAAAATTTTGGTAAAACTGAGTGGGGCATGGTGGTGCATGCCTTTAATCCCAGTACTCGGGAGGCAGACGCAGGCAGATCTCAGTGAGTTCGAGGCCAGCCTGGCCTCCATAGAGAATCCAGGCCAGTTGCAACTACTGGGAGACCCTGCTTCAAAAAGACAAAAAAAAATTTTTTTTTGGTAAAACCGAACTGGGTGCACATCTTTAGTCCCAGCAGAGGTATGTGGATCTCTTGTGAGTTCAGGGCCAGCCTGGTCTACATAGCTAGTTCTAAGCCAGCTGAGACTACAGGGAGACCCTATTTCAGAAAAAAAGTTTTTTGTTTTTTTTTTGGTAAAACTACATTTTTACTTTTTTCCGTTGTTTGATTTTTTTTTTTTTTTTTTTTTTTTTTTTTTTTTAACAATTAGAGATAGGGTCTCCCAGTAACTCTGACTGGCCTGGAACTTAATATGTAGAAGACAGGCTGGCCTCGAGCTCACAGCTGCCTCTACCTCCAAATTGTTGGGTTTAAAGGCATGTACCACCGCACCCCGCTTGACTTTAATTTTTAACTTTTCTTTTAGTGATAATGGTTATAGGTCCTTTCAAAAATGTTATTAACATTTTTAGGAAATTTCCTTTATCTTTAATGGTATATGTATGAATGTATGTATGTATGCATGGATGCGTGGATGTATGCATGTAAGTGTGGGTACCCTCGGGACAGCAGAAGGTGTCAGATCCCCTGGAACCAGAGTTCCAGGTGGTTGTGAATCACCTGTCTTAGATCCTGGACACAACTCAGATCTGCAACTGTTACCTCTTTTTTTGTTTTAAATATTTTTTATTTATTATTTTTATTTTATGTGTACGAGTGTATTGCCTGAATGTATGTGAGTGCATCTGTGTCATGCAATGCCGTGGAGGTCAGAAGAGGGCTTTGGATTCCCCTGGAACTGGATTTAAGGATGGTTCATAGCTGCCATGTGCATGCTGGGAATTGAACCCGTGTCCTCTGCAAGAGTAGTCAGTGCTTTTAACACTAAACATCTCTCCAGCCCCATAAAACTTTTATTAAACATTACTTATTTTCTGTGCGGGTGCATGTGTACCACAGTATGCATGATGGAGGACAGGTTGCCAGAGTCGGTTCTCTTCTTCTACCACAAGGATCCTAGGGATTGAACTCAGGTCATTAGACTTGCCAGCAAGCGCCTTTACCCCCTGAGCCATGTCCTGGGCTCCTTAGTTCTTTCTTTTGAAAAGATGGAACAGGCCAACTGGACTCCCCCATGTCTTAAACTTTGTAGCTTTCCGTAAGGATTCCACCTCTTGACGTACAGCCTGTCTGGCTGTGGTTCACTTGACAGCAACATCTGAGGAGGAATTCTCTCCAACCACCCCTAAGGCCCAGGGCGGGCCTTACATTTGAGCATGCAGGGGCTCTGATATTTTGGTGTTGGGAGTATGCACTCCAATATTTTGCCAATAGGGAATCCATGTTCTGATAGGGGATTCATGTTCTGGTGTTGTTTGGGCCTTCAGACCTTTCATGTTTGGTTTTGATTATTTACTTTTTCAAAATGTTTATTTTATGAGTATGAGTGTTTTGTGTGCATGTATGTAAGCATACCATGTGCATGTCATATCTGCAGAGGCCAGAAGAGGGCGTTGGATCCCCTAGAATTAAGTTACAGTTATTAGTACCATGTGGATGCTGGGATCTGAACCTAGGTCCTTTGCAAGGGCAACCAGTGCTCTTTACCATTGAGCCATCTCTCCAGCCTCTTATTTTTGAGACAGGGTCTCATTATGAAGCCCTGGCAGGCCTAGAACTCACTGTGCACAACAGACTGGCCTTAAACTCATAGAGAACCCCCTGTTTCTGCTTGCCAAGTTTTGGGATTAAAGGTGTGTACCACCACACCTGGCTTAATTTTTATTTTTTCAAATATGTGCATGTGCCCTTGTCTGTATGTGGGTATATGCATATATGTGTCTATGAGTGCAGTGCCCTTGGTAACCAGAAGAGAGTGTCATATCTCCTGGAGCTGGGGTTACAGGCATTTGCATGGGTGCTGAGAACTGAACCCTTGTCCTCTGTTAGAGCAGCAAGCACGCCTCTGTGCCATCTCTTCAGCCCCTTTCATGTTACTTGAAGCTGCAGCAAAGTTGATGCATTTTCTTGCTACTGTGTTGCTTCTGGTCTCTGTGGAAATCAAAAACTTCTGGGGTTAATAATGGCTGTCAACATTTAATTAATTCCTAAAGGGTGGGAGCTAATGTTACACATTTATTTCACTTCCCACTCAGGCAACACAAGCTTTACAACAAGGAGCTGTATGCAGACTTCATTGCTGCTCAGATCAAAACACTGTCCTTTTTAGCTTACATCATCAGAATTTACCAGGTAAGTTCCTTGACTTAAGTTTTCCCTTGTTTTCTTCCTTTTTCTTCCTTTCATATGTATGTGTATATGGTGTGCATGTGCATGTGTTTGTGTTTGCAGCATGCGTGCGTGCATGCATGTGTTTTGTGTGTGTGTGCATGCACATGCATGCTGAGCCTTTCTGGATAGGCCTTGGCTGTTGGCTTACCCCAGAAGCCTCACAGTTGTGTCCCCGCTTTGGACAGGAGCTGGTGACCAAGTATTCTCAACAGATGGTGAAAGGTATGCTGCAGCTGCTCTCCAACTGCCCGGCGGAGACTGCACACCTCAGGAAGGAGCTCCTGATTGCTGCCAAGCACATCCTTACCACTGAGCTGAGGAACCGTAAGGCTCTGCTCTTTGAAGGCCTGTGTGGCTCTGCTGCCCTCTTTGGGGTGGGCTCAGAGGCTCAGAGATGGTTCGAGGTGGCTGTCAGAGCCCCACATGGCTCCCCTTTCTCATTGCTCTCTTGTTTTTTTATTTTATGTGTATGAGTTTTTCTGGCCTCTCTTGGCCTTTTGCTTTCCCTTTTCTTGTGTCTCTTCTCTCCCTCTGTCATTGCCCCTCCACCCTTGCCTTTTTCTTTACCAGGGGTCCCCCCCACCTTTTTTTTTTTTTTTTTTTTAAGAAACCCAGTCATTAATATGGCTTCCTTAGACTAGCTTATGCCTTCTGGTACTTGTCTGATTTTTTATTGCAAATCTCTTGAAATGGCAAATAGCCATTTGATTATTTGCAGTTAGCAGCTCTTAAAAGGTGAAAAAAACTTAGTGCTTTCATTTTCTATGCTGTGAGGTTGGTTCTGTGCCACTCTTCATTTTCTCTTAATAATATTGGTAAATCATTTTCATACTTGAATATTTCCGAAATTTGATATCGACGACTTACCCTGTTTAGTTATGGTACATTATTTTGCCCAGTAAGTTTCCATAGTAATTGTTAAAATTGTCAATGGTTTCTAAACCAGAGAATACATAAAACTGGGACTGGGCTTTTTTTACGTAGTTTTTTTTTTTTCTTTTTGCAGACAGGGTCTCACTATGTACCACTGGCTGGCCTATAACTCAATACAGGCTGGACCTGAACTCTGCCTCTCAAGTGCGGAGATTGAAGCCATGTGCTACCATGCTTTGCTGAAAAATTTTATTTCTAATTTAATGTTGGGATTGAGTTTGCATCAGAAGTCAACTTCTGTGAGTAGGTTCTCTCTTTCAACTCTTGGGTTTTGAGGATGGAACCCAGGTCCTCAGGCTTGCTTGGCAAGCACTTTTACCTGCTGCACCATCTTTCCAGCCCTCAGACTGCAGTTATAGCTCTTGCTGTCAGAGCAGTGAGGATTCTGAGGCTTCATGTGGGGACCTGGGCAGCAGGAGGTTCTCACGCTTTTCAGATAGCCCAAGTCCACAGGTGTACAAGCAGGCCCTTGGTGGGACCATGAAGCTTGGTGCTGGTTTGTGGTAACACCTGTTCACCAGGACTTGTGGCTCTCCAAGCTGCTGCCCTTTGTAGTTTGATCTCTAGACCGGTTGAGTGCAGAGCCTTCTACTTTTGGAGTCTCTTTATGATTGGCTTCTAAAGTTACTGATGTATTGATTGATTGAGTTTTGTGTGGTGTTGGAGTGCAGGTGCAGGTGTGCTACAATGACACGGATGTCAGAGGACAACTCTTGAGCATTGGCTCGCCTATCATGTTGGGTCCTGGGATGGAACTCAGGTTGTTGGGCTTGGTGGCAAGTGTCTTTACTTGCTGAACCACCTTGCTCACCCTAATTGGCTTTTTTACATTTTATTTATTTATTTGTTTCTGTGTGTATGTGTGTGTGTGGGTGGATGTGTGTACACGTGCATGTACACAGACGTGGAGGTAAGAGGACAATTTTCAGGAGTTTAATTCTCTCCCTACCCTATGTATAGGAAGGGCAGGTACTTATACCTGCTGAGTCATCTCCCTGACCTGGCTTTGATTTTTTGTGTGTGTGTACTTCTGTGCTGCCCTAAACATGTTGTGTCTCCAGTGTACCCACTTCTTTTATGTCTTTAACCTTCAGTGGTTATTTGCTGGTAAAAAACATACTTTAATGTTCTTTGACTTATTGAAGTAGGCTGGATGTCAGGTTTGTTCCAGAATCTAAATGTCCCCTGGATGCATGTCTTATGTGTTTGTGGTTAATTCTCTAGCTCTTGAACATGACCCTGACTGTGTTTTTGGGGGCAGCAGGGGGTTTGTGTGGCCCAGCAAAGCCAGAGCCTTATCCAGACAGTATGGGTACCTTTCAGGTCTTCCCTCTCTCTGTCTTTCAGACTGACCATTGTGGTGGCTCTGTGTAGGAATTTACTGTGCAGTTCTTATTAGTAACATACGCCTTGTGTATTGGTTTTCTAGAGTTCATTCCCTGTATGGACAAGCTGTTTGATGAATCCATACTGATTGGCTCAGGATATACTGCACGAGAGACTCTCAGGTATGAGGTTAGACACATGATATCTGTTTGGATTACATGCTAGGGATAAAGATTACTGGCATTTAATGTTAGGAGGGTTTCAACAAATACAAGCTGTTGGGCCTTGACTCACTGATTGGGTTTAGAATGGCAGTAGTTTTGGAAAGTACTTGGGTTGATTAAAGTTTTTTAATTTATGGGCCTCGAAAGATGGTTCAGTGGTTAAGAACAGGTACTGCTTTTCCAGAGGGCCCAAATTTGAATCCTAATCCCCATGCCAGGTGGCTCACAACTACCTATAACTCCAAGGGATCACACACCCTCTTTCTCACTTGTGGCGCACATACACACATGCAAACAAAACACTTATACACATGAAATAAAAATCTTAAATGTTTTTTAATTTGCATTTCCAAATTTATTTGTGCATATGTGCGTGAACACACCACAGGACACTGTGCAGAACAGAGAACAACTTGAAGAACCAAATAACCTAGATACTGGTGGTGTCTGTATTGAAGAGTCATGTAGAGTTTAACCTGCTTGCATTGTTTATGTTTGAATAAACACACAGTGCATGATCTAGCTGGTGATCATTTATCCAATCTCTGTTTAGCTGCATCTACTAGTATATGCCAGAAGCTCTCTTGGTTAGTTTTTATTGACAACTTGACAGAACCCAAAGTCACCTGGGAAGAGGGAACCTCAATTGGAAAATTTCCTCAATCAGATTGACCTGTGGGCATGTCTGTGGGGCATTGTCTTGATTGATAATTGATGTAGAAGGACCCAACCCACTGTGGGCGGCACCATCCCTAGACAGGCCAGCCTGGGCTATATAAGAAAGTTAGCTGAGCAAGCCAGGGGAAGCAAGCCAGGGGACAGTGTTCCTGTGTGTTTTCTGCTTGAGTTCCTGCCCTGACTTCTCAGCAACGTACTGTGACCTGCAGTTGTAAGCCAGATAAACCCTTCCTTTCCCTAAGTTGCTTTTGGTCAGTGTTTTTATCATGCAACAGAATGAAACTAGAAAAGGAACTTTATATCATGCACCAAAGTTAACCTTTCACCTGGGAAAGTACAGAGCAAAGTGTCTGGCGGAGACTCAGGTCTTTCTGTCATGCAGCTAGAAGAGTACTGAGTCTGGGTGGGAAGAGGCCATATTAAACCTCCCCAACTTAGGCTGCAGTTCCTGTGATGGCTGTTAGGGAATAGGCACTAATGGGTGTCTTTACCTGCAGGCCTCTCGCCTACAGCACACTGGCTGATCTGGTGCACCATGTTCGGCAGCATCTGCCCCTCAGTGACCTCTCCCTTGCCGTCCAGCTCTTTGCCAAAAACATCGACGATGAGTCTCTGCCCAGTAGCATCCAAACCATGTCCTGCAAGCTCCTGCTGAATCTGGTGGACTGCATCCGCTCCAAGAGTGAGCAAGAGAGTGGCAATGGGAGAGACGTCTTGATGAGGATGCTAGAGGTACCAGCTCTGCCAGGGCAGTGTCCATCCTGAGCTTGTCTTTTTTTTTTTTTTTTTTTTTTTTTTTTTTTTTTTTTTTTGGGGGTACATGCCTTTAATCCCAGCACTTGGGGGGCAGAGGCAGGCAGATCTTTGTGAGTTCGAGGCCTGCCTGGTCTATATAGTGAGTTCCAGGACAGCTGGGGCTACAAGGAGACCCTGTCTCAAAAATAAAATTTTTTATTTATTATTTTTATGTATCTTGAGTGTTATGTCTGAATGTATGTAATTGCACCTGTATAGTTCAATGCCTCCAGAGGTCAGAAGAGGGCATTTGATCCCCTGGAACTGGAATTATAGATGGTTATTAGCCACCATGTGGGTGCTGGGAATTGAACACGAATCTTCTGCAAGAGCAGCCAGTGCTCTTAACTGCTGAGCCATCTTTCCAGCTTGGCTCTTAATCTTAATTAAGCATTATTAAATGTGGGTGAAGGAAGTGGCCAGATTGACCAGCTGGGCCCCAGAAGTTAGTCCACACAGGTTCAAATCTGGGCTCTTCCTGCTAGCTAGCTGTGCTTAAGCCATCTGCCTGTTTTCAGTATGTTTGAGGACAATCAGCATCTGCCTCATAGGGTTGCTGAGAGTTAATAGATTGTGTAAGCTCTTTGTATAATTCCTGGAACTGGAGGAGTTCTCTGGGGTGAAAGCCAGATGCTGACTACACCATGGGTGTCTCCACAGAGACCCCAGTGGTATCTGGGTAAAGGATGGAAGGGTTTCCATGGCTGATGGGTGATAGTGTGGTGCTGGAGGGACAGCTGTGCTGGGTTAGATTTCCATTCTGTTTATTGAAGTGCTTAGAAACTAGCAACCTCTGAACTTCAGGTGTGTCAGGTTGTTCTTGTGCAGGTGCACAGGCCAGAGAACCACCGTGGTGGTGTCCTGAAGGAACCGCCCACCTTAGGGTTTTTTGTTGTTGTTGTTTTTTTGTTTTTGTTTGTTATTTTAAAATATGTATTATTTTTATTTTATGTGTATGCGTGTATTGCCTGCATATAGGTAAGTGCACCCATGTCTTGCAATGCCTGTGGAAGACAGAAGAGGCTGTTGGATCCCCTAGAACTGGAGTTATGGACAGTTGTTAGCTGTCATGTGGGTGCTGGGATTCAAACCAGGTCTGCAAGACCAGTCAGTGTTTTTAACCACTGAGCCTTCTCTCCAACCCATTTGTTTGTTTTTTGAGACGAAGTCTCATTTGTCTGGAGCACATCAGATAGCGTATGTTGGCTGGCCATCCAGCCCTAGATCTGTGAATCTGCTTGCTCAGAATTGGGATTACAAATTCATGCCTCCAAACTTGGCTTTTTTTTTTTTTTTTTAAATTTAACAGGGGTTCTGGGGATCAGATAGGTCCTCATGCTTGCAAGGCAAGCAGGCTACTAACTGCACACACCCTCCCAGGCCCCCCACCCTACCCCCATCCCCCAACCCTATCCTCATTTGGCCTTTTTGTGAAGCAAAGGTAGAATGACCAGTAGGTGGTTTCAGTGGCATTTTGTTTTTCTGTCATCTGAAAGGATTTTTGGCCTACGAATAACTTCTGTGTCCCACCCCCATTTCTCTTGCCCTCAGGTTTTTGTTCTCAAGTTTCACACCATTGCTCGGTACCAACTCTCAGCCATTTTTAAGAAGTGCAAGCCTCAGTCTGAACTCGGAGCTGTGGAAGCTACTCTGCCCGGGGTGCCCACTGCTCCTGCTGCCCCTGGCCCTGCACCCTCCCCAGCCCCTATACCTGCCCCTGCTCCCCCTCCACCTCCACCCCCAACACCAGCCACTCCAGTGACACCAGCCCCTGTGCCTCCATTTGAGAAACAAGGAGAAAAGGACAAGGAGGACAAGCAGACGTTCCAAGTCACAGACTGCCGAAGTCTGGTGAAGACCCTGGTCTGTGGAGTCAAGACCATCACGTGGGGCATCACATCCTGTAAAGCACCTGGTGGTAATTGTGCTTCCACACTGCTCAGACCCATGGCATTTTCTGTATAGTGTGTCTTATTTTGCAAGGTTTTAATGTGTTCTCTCTCTTCCAGAAGCTCAGTTCATTCCCAACAAGCAGTTACAACCCAAAGAGACTCAAATTTACATCAAACTCGTGAAGTATGCGATGCAGGCCTTAGATATTTATCAGGTATGGGAATTGCTATGGTGTGGAAGGTGTCCTTAGACTAGGAGTGCTACTGATAGCATGGGCCAGCAGAGCTCATCTTCTGTTTGCCTGGACCTGCATTTACTTCTCTTACTTGACCCAGCATTGCATTTTGCTGGGATTCCAGGTACGCTTTGAGCCTGGGCTCAAACCCATAGCTTCCTGCATGTGCGGCATCTCAGTTTCCTGTTGCTGGGATAAAACACCCCAGCAAAAGCACTTTGGGGAGAAAGATTTATCTGGTTTGCCATCCTAGGTTGCAGTCTGTCGTTGCAGGGAAGCCTTGGCTGTGAGAACCTGAAGCAGTTGGTCATAGCCGTAACAGTCAGAGCAGAGAGCATGTTTGTGCACAGCTGCCCTGCCGTACAGAATTCAGGGTGCCCCGCCGAGGGAATGCTGCCAACCACAGTGGGCAGGATCTTCCCACTTCAGTGAATATAATTAAGACTTCCCCACAGATGTGCCCACAGTCCAACCTCATCCAGCAGTCCCTCCCTGAGACTTTCGAGGTGATTCTAGAGTGTATCAAGTTGACAGTTAACTAAATACCACATCAGACAAGCACCTTGTCATCCAAGCCACATTTCCAGCCCCTCTGAGAATTCTTACGAAGTATCCATCTGTGTGCATTTTGTGGCAGAGGTAGTTTGACCTCTAAAGTTTTTGTTGTTCTTTTTCAAAGTTAAGGTGAGAAAAGAGAATTCTGAAAGGGGCATTATGGTCTAATTCACTGCCCTGTTTTAGGTATGTAACTGGTGTGCCTTTGTAAAGAAGCACATTCACAGGAGCTCAGTTTTAATGGTTTCGGGTGGCTCTCTCCTCCCAGGTCCAGATGGCGGGAAATGGACAGACCTACATTCGAGTAGCCAACTGCCAGACTGTGAGGATGAAGGAAGAGAAGGAGGTGTTGGAACATTTTGCTGGTGTCTTCACCATGATGAACCCCTTAACATTTAAGGAGATTTTCCAGACTACAGTCCCTTACATGGTAGAGAGAATCTCAAAAAATTATGCTCTTCAGGTATAAACTCCTTTTTTATATTAAAATTTTTATTTATTGTGTGTAGCAGAGTTCATCTGACAGCTTGTGGGAGTTGGTTTTCTCCTTCCACTGTGAGGAGACTAGGGAATTGAACTCAGGTCTTCATGCTTGGCAGCAAGTGCCTTTACCCACTGAGCCACCTCACTGGCCCCTTTTCTTTGTTCTTTCAGCATTCACTTTATTGAGTTTAGGTCTACTTCTTTTTGTAAACTTTATGTGCCTTTGTGATTTACTTCTTGGCCATGAAAAGCTGGTTGGTCTAGGCTTCAGGTTCTCTCTTTTTATTTTATATTGGAGTGGCCAAATTGCTTTCGTCTTGCTGCTCAGGAGTTCCCACAGAGGCCCAAGTCATCTGAGGATCAGATGCTCTCAGGCTTTCTACTAAGGTCTGGATCCCTCCAGGAAAGATGTTGGCCTCAGGAATATGGAGGCTGGGCTGGCCTGGGACCAGGGCCTGGGAAAGATGTGCAGTGGGTACCACTGAACTTAACCAGGAAAGATGCTGGCTCCAGGAAGCTGGTATCTGTGCTGCCCAGGAATGCAGAGGGAGGTGGAGGCAGGAAGAGGACCGAGGGCTCCTGGATACTAGAGGGATGAATTGGGTTGGTCTCTATGCAAAGGATCAGGGAGCAGTGGGGAGTCTGGGCCAGGAGGTCAGTCCAGATATCTGGGGTGCCAAAACAAGAAATGGGCTCAGTGCCCAGGCTAGGAGGAGAGATGGGGTAGAATAGCTGGGAGGGTGAATGAGGCTGGGGGAGTCAATGTGCAGTGCCACAGAACTTACCCAAAAAGATGCTCAGCATTCACTTTAAAGTATTTTTGTTTATGTGTTAAATCCTTTTGTGTTTAGTCACCTATTTTGAGGATTTTAAAAACAATGTAGCAAAGGATGTGCTTACAGGGGAGTATTAGGGGTAATGTTTGAGGAAGTTTTCAGCCCTTGCAGATACCTTGGACCAGCTCAAGAGTGGAAGTGTACTCAGTGCAGGCTCTTGGTCTTTGCTGTTGAGACTGGGGTTGAGTCCTTAGTGCTCAGGTCCACTTGGCTCAGCAGTACATTTGGTTTTGTGGATGTTTGATTTCTTTCTCTTTTTGTGGTCTTTTTGAGACAGGGTCTCCCTGTAGTCCTAGCTGCCCTGGAATGCACTATTCACAGAAATCTGCCTGCCTCTGCCTCCCACATCCTGGGATTAATGGTGTGCACCACCACACCCAGCCTTGGATTTTTGATTTCTTGATTCTGCTAAAGACTGTGTGCTTGATTGTTTCTGTCACTGGGATAAACACCATGGTGAAAAGCAACTTGGTAGGAAAGGGTTTCTTTGATCTCACAGCTATGGTCCACATCTCAGGCTGTCAGGGCAGGAGCTGAAGTAGAGACCACAGAGGGATGTTGCTTACTGACTTGCACCTTTCTTATAAGGGTCCACCTGCCCAGGGATGGCACTGCCCACTAGTGGGCTGGGCCCTCCTGCATCAACAAACAATCAAGGAATTGCCTCACAGACATGTCCACAGGCCAGTGGGATGGAGGAAATTCATCCGTTGTGGTTCCTTCTTGGCAAGTGACTCTAGTTTATGTCAAGTTAACAGAAAACTAGCCAGCACAGGGGTTTTGAGTTTTGGGGAATTGCTTGTTTTGTCTTAAGATGTTCTGGGGTAGGATTATTTTTGTCATGGGCATTTCTTATTTTCATAGATTGTTGCCAACTCCTTCTTGGCAAATCCCACTACCTCGGCTCTGTTTGCCACGATCCTGGTGGAGTATCTCCTGGATCGGCTGCCAGAGATGGGCTCCAACGTGGAGCTCTCCAACCTATACCTCAAGCTCTTCAAGCTGGTCTTTGGCTCAGTGTCCCTGTTCGCAGCTGAAAATGAGCAGATGCTGAAGGTAACTGACTCTAGTCTGGGGGCACACTGGTCAGAGGGACACTGGTGTGTATGGGATTTTTGTTATTTTAGCCTTTTGAACAGAAACTACAGTGACTCCATTTCACATATGTAATGCACTCTTTAAATTTGATTTGTGGCTGGGGAGATGGTTCAGTGGTTAAGAGTGCATGCTGCTATTGCAGAAGACCCGAGTTTAATTCCCAGCACCTACATCATGTGGCTCCTGACAGCCTGTAACTGCAGCTCCAGGGCACCTGGTGCCCTTTTCTGGCCTGCATGGGCACCTGCATGTATTAAATAAAAATAATTAAAAATTGGGGCTAGGGAGATGGCTCAGCGGTAAAGAACACTGGTTTAAAAATTGATTTGTAATAAATAAGGCCCTGGTGTGGAAAACATTTCAGGGGACTGGAGAGATGGCCCAGGGGTTCAGAGAAACTGGCTACTTCTGCAGGGGACCAGCACCCACATGGTGGCCAACAGCCATCTGTATGTAACACTAGTTCCAGGGGCTCCAGTGACCTCTTCTGACCTCCATAGGCATTTCACGACAGAGAACCTGGGTTTGGTTCCCAGCACCCACATGGCAGCTAACAACTGTCCATCTGTGACTCCAGTTCAAGAGGATCTGATGCCCTCTTCCGGCCTCTGCTGGAATTGCGTGCATGTGGTGCACTTACATACATGCAGGCAATACACTCATACACATAAGATAAAAATAATAAAATATTTAAAGAATAACCTAGGAACCATAAAACAAACTTTTTATCTGCTCATAAGCAATACTCTTATCAGCTGGCTTTCGGAAAACTCAGAATCAAGGCCTGCTGTGGTATAATCCTCTAATACTCCTGCTCAGGAGGTAGAGGCAGGAGAGTTAAGATAGCCTCACCTACTTAGCAAATTCAGAGTCAAGCCAGCCTAGGCTACATGAGACTCCCATCTCAAAAACCTTTTAAAAAACGAAAGAAATCTCTGATGAGTTAGTTTCGTCATTAGTATTACTCCTTTTCTAAACTTTTGTTTTTCTTCATTGTACAGGTGTAGGAGAAGTAAGTGGTTCTTTGTTTTTTGTTTGAGACGATCTTTCTAGGTGGTCCAGGCCCACCTCACACCCTCAGTCTTCTTGAAGCCTCAGCTTCTGGAGTGTTGGGATTTGGAGCGTTTGGTTCTTTTTTTAAAAAAAATTTATTTTCCTATGTGTATGTAAGTGCACCACGTGTATGCAATGCCCTTGGACGCCAGAAGAGGGCATTGGATCCCCTGGAACCTGGAATTATGGATAATTGTTAGCCATCATCTGGATGCTAGGAACTGAATCTGGGTCCTCTGCAAGAGTAGCCAGTGCTCCTAACCACTGAGCCATCTCTCCAGCACTTGGCTTCTTATGTCTTGTGTGACTGTAACCCTGTAAAGAGGTGACTGCATCCACAAGAACTGCAGAGTGGGCAGACCCTGGAAGCCTATTAATAAGTGCATCTTTCATAGCCAAGCTAGTTTAAGTCAACTACAGCTCAGGAAGTCTTTGCTTTGTTTTTTTCCCTATTGAAATAACCTTCAGAGTTGCTTTTTCTGTCACTGGATTGCAGTGCTGTGTTAGCTTGAGTCTGGAAGGTGTGGCACCTTCTCAGAGCTCCCTGATCCATCTGCCTTCTCTCCATAGCCTCACCTGCACAAGATTGTGAACAGCTCCATGGAGCTTGCCCAGACTGCCAAGGAGCCCTACAACTACTTCCTGCTCCTGCGTGCACTGTTCCGCTCCATTGGTGGAGGCAGCCACGATCTCCTGTATCAGGAGTTTTTGCCTCTCCTCCCAAACCTCTTGCAAGGTGAGGGCATGGCTTCGGCTGCCATTGTTAGGTCTCGCGTGTGTATGTATCTGCCTGCCTGTAACTGCCAGCTTTGTCTTCCTTGCCTAGTGAAGGTCGTGGGTAATGAATGGGGTGTGTGCTGGGAATTTCTTCCATCATTATTTAGAGAATAACTATTGGTTTCTGCAATCAAACCACATAGATAAGGTCTTATGTGAAAAGGCCTTCCATATTTAATGCAGTATGTTACTTCTAAAAATGTGTGGTATGAGCTAGGCGTGGTGGCGCACGCCTGTAGTCCCAGCACTTGGGAGGCAGAAGCAGGCGGATCTTTGTGAGTTCAAGGCCAGCCTGGTCTACATAGTGAGTTCCAGGACAGCTGGGGCTACAGGGAGACCCTGCTTCAGAAAGACCAAAAAAAAAAAAGTATGGTATGTAAAACATTAATCACCTCAGAGTGTGGCTCACGAGGAGCTTGTCTCTCCTGTTCAGCCTCATGTCCAGCCCCTGCCCGGTCTTGGCTCTGCCTGGGCTCCTTCTGTGATCCCAGCTCTTGTCTCCTTCCTCTGTAAAGCCGATGGTCTTCTGGGAATCTGCCCCATGTCCTCTTTTTATCCTCATCCCGTGGATTCTGAATCACCTCTGCTGCCTGCCTGGTGGTGCTTTCCTCAACTAGCACGGCTTCTTTTTTGAATCTTGTGTCTCTCCTCAATGGTACCCAGAATGCACCTGGTTTTGGCTCTCTTGTTTATACTTTACTCTCCATCCTCCATGAGATGGGCTCAGTAAACATTAGATTAATGCCAATGAAGTAAAGGTTGACTTTGTACTCAAGGAGGCTCCATATTTGTAATAAAAGTGGATTTAAAATGTTTATTTCAGAAGCTGCCTGCAGCCTGTTGTTGCCTGTAGGGACAGTAAACATAGTTAAGAGGTTTAACTGGTAGTATATTAGAAGAGCACATGTCAAGAAAGTAAAATCTCCCCCTGCCTCCAGGACTCAACATGCTGCAGAGTGGCCTGCATAAGCAGCACATGAAGGATCTCTTTGTGGAGCTGTGTCTCACTGTGCCTGTGCGGCTGAGCTCCCTCCTGCCCTATCTTCCCATGCTCATGGATCCATTGGTGTCTGCACTCAACGGGTCTCAGACATTGGTCAGCCAAGGCCTGAGGACCTTGGAGCTGTGTGTGGACAACCTGCAACCGGATTTTCTGTATGACCACATTCAGCCAGTACGTGCTGAGCTCATGCAGGTATGTGTGCTGGACCTGTGTGCCAGCAGGAGGCATCAGAGACTCAGGGTTGTCCCAAGGTTGCTACCATCCTTGAGCTCTGTACTCATAGGCAGACTGTCAGACGGAGTGGAGAATGACGTCACTCTTCCTTGTACTGAAACATACAGAACTAGTGTAGGTGGTGGATGGATGTGTTGCAGCGGTGCCTGTCCATCGGGTGCTTTCATACATTCTAGTCTCTGCAAGCCAATGACTTGTGAAGCACACGGTCAGAGTGTTCTCTAGCTAGCTGCTGATGCCCCTGGAAAACCTGTCTGTATCCACAAAACTTGGTTTCAAAGTGAAAGGATGCAGACTCCAAAGTTGATAGACGTCTTCCCTGCCCCACCTCATCCCAAAAGAAAAAGAACAGATAATGAAGGAGGTTGTTGTGAAGTCTTAGAGTCTTTTTTTTCCTTTTTAATTTTTTTACTTTATGTAAGTAAGTCTTTTGCCTGCCCGCATGTATGTAAGTGAACCCATGAAATCGGAGTTATGGATGCTTCCACTGCCATGTCAGTGTTGAGAACTGAACCTAGGTCCTCCATGAGAGCAGCCAATCCGCTTAACCACCTCTTCAGCCCAGTCTTAAGTGTTTTGTTCATTAAAGATCACGTCTTAAATATCTTGGGTTTTCTCCCATGCTTTGCACTCCTTGTGATTAGTGATGGGAATGGTAATTGTTAGAGGTGGAACTGTCTGCTGTTGACTCTTCTGTCTATTTAGCATAGGGTTCATAGCACCAGCCTTCCATGATGGAGACTCAGAACCTCCTGAACCAGGGGGTCCCTGGACAAGCTAGATTGGAGAGACAGCATCTCAGACTGGATGTTTACCTTAGGAGTCCTTCCCTACCTGGCCTAGATGTTGGCCTCTGCCCAGACTGTACGAAGATGGCATAGGGTTCCACTTTGCCTGTTGTCACCTAGAGGCCTGACAACTAAGTGCCTGATTTGAGACCAGCAACTGTAGATTCCAGAAAGCTGAGCCTGGTCCTGGCCTGAGTGTGTGTGAGCAGCAGAGGGAAAGTCAATTCAGGGATGACTTATGGGGCCTGAGAAAAGGCAGGATCAGGGCCACATTTGCTACACCATGAGGTTAGACCCCAGGAGATACAGGTTCAAGGTAATCGCCAGTTTTTGGAGGCCCATTAACCCCTATTCCTGAGGACAAGGGTCAGTGTTGGTCTCTCCCAGTCAGACCAATGCATCCACCCCAGTGCTTCACTCTTCTGGACAAGAAGCAAAGACGCTCCCTGAGGACACCTGAGGCCAGAGGGACAGACCAGAGGGAAGTCAGGACCAGCAGGGGAGTCAAGGCCACCTTTGTAGCAGTTATGAAGGAGAAGATTTTGGATCTGTAGGAATATGAGAGAAACTGGACCTTTGCTTGGTGTAAAGATGTGTACCACAATTTCAAGTTGACTTCAATATTGCCAGACTCAGACTAGCATGAACAATGCTAGTTAACACATTTTTGCATTTATTTATTTATTTTGCATTTATTTATTATTTTTGGTCTTTTTGAAACAGGGTTTCCCTGTAGCCCCAGCTGTCCTGGAACTCACTATGTACACCAGGCTGGCCTTGAACTCACAGAGATCCGCCTGCCTCTGCCTCCCGAGTGCTGGGATTGCATTTTTTTTTTTTTAAATTTATCTAGTGTGTGGGTTGGGAAAGGGCCTGGTGGTGGCATGTACCATAGTGCACGTGTGGAGGCCAGAACAACTCATGGGAGTCAGTTCTCTCCTTCCGTCATGTGAGTCCTGCCAATTGAACTCAGGTTGTCAGGCTTAGTGGCAAGTGCCTTTACTGTTGAGCCATCTCACTTGCCCAACAAGGGTTATTCTTGGACTTAGATGATTGAGAAAGCATGAGGAAATGTGTATGGAGAGTTCTGAGACAGTTGGCTTGGGTGTTCTGAGTTTGATCCAGTTTTAATTGCTGCAATCCTGTGTTCAGGGGTCATTGTGACCCCTGTGGTTGGAAATGTATTAAATGATTTCTCAATCACATTTGTACGTTATAAACCTAGTAAGTTAGAAGTTAAAGCCCAGGAACTTACCCTTGAACTCCCAGACAAAAATGTGCAGTAAGTCACCCCTTGCCCCTCCCATCCAGCCTTCCTCACTTCATGCCTAAGAGAGCATTGCTCTACATTCTTTACCCCTGTTTTTTATTGTGTCAGGTTTTTTTTTTGTTTTTTTTTTTTGTTTTTTTTTTTGTAGACAGGAGCTCTAAATTTTATTTATTGGTTAAAGATGCTGAAATTCCTTGGGAGAACAAACAAGACTAATAACATTGGTTTTCCCCAAGGAGGGGGAGCCGTGATTAGGGGGACAGGTGGGAGGAGGAATTGTCACATCTACCATTTTGGGATTTGGAGTCTTTGGCTGTGGGTTGTGTGAACCTTCTTTCTTATGACACTTTCATGAAAACCCTTTGGTTTTTAGGCCTTGTGGCGTACACTGCGCAACCCTGCAGATAGCATCTCCCATGTGGCCTACCGTGTACTTGGGAAGTTTGGTGGGAGCAACAGGAAGATGCTGAAGGAATCCCAGAAGCTACACTATGTGGTGACTGAAGTTCAAGGCCCCAGTATTACTGTGGAGTTCTCAGATTGCAAAGCCTCCCTCCAGCTCCCGATGGAGAAGGTAGAGTCGGAGCCTGCAGGAGTGTCAGGGAAATTAAATCTTTCACTCTGATTGTTGTGTAAAATATGTATCTGAGACAGCTTTGGAGGAGAGTCTCTCACTGAGTACAGTTGTGTGGCATCTGCTCGCATGGCAAGGTAGCTTACGTACATCCCATAGGTTAGTGGAGTGGTGTCACCTGGGTGCTTGGGACTCTTATGTTTATGATTTTAAAAAATCTGTTTTTATTATTGTTAATTGTGTGTGTGTGTGTATGTATGTATGTGTGTCTGTGTATACATGTGTGACTACTAGTGCTCATGGAGGCCAGAGGCATTAGAACCCCTGAAGCTGGGGGTTACAAGCAGTCGTAAACCACCACATATGGGTGCTGGGAACTAAACCCAAGTCTTCTGCAAGAGGAGCAAAGTGATCTTTTAACTGCTGAGCCAGCTCTCTAGCCCTGGAACTTGGAACTCCTGAGTAGTTAATCTTCCTGATAACCAGCCCATCCTGAACTCTCGGTTTGTTTGATCCTGATAGGTCTTATTTCCAGAGCTGTTGAGAACTCAGTCCTTAATTATCTCTCATCCCCAGCATCCCAGGATCTAGTTTTCTCCTGTTCTCTATCCAAACCCTCCTATTTTCTACTTCCTGACTCTTGTGAAACCAAGTAGTATAAAAAGTACATATTTGTGTGTGTGTGTGTGTGTGTGTGTGTGTGTGTGTGTGTGTGTGTGTGTGTGTGTCCTGTGTTTCTGTGCCTTTCTCTGTGTTTGTCAGTGTGAGGGTTTCTGGGGGTAGATGTCAATCTTTTTCAAAAGAGAATTAAGTCAAAGCTTAAAAAGTTGTCCTGCAGTGTGAAATGAAATGCAGGAAAGCTGTACTGCCGAGAGGTCAGGGTTCTCACTAGACCTCTATGGGTGTTGAGATGACACAGGCTCCAGTTGGCCCCTGCAAACATACCACATGAGACCCTCTAGAGCTTACTGAATTCTGTAATCCCCCATTGGCCATTAAATGTGAAATCTGGGGCTGGAGAGAGGCAAGCAGTTAAGAGCCCTTGGCAGCTCATGAGGAGGCCCTTGGTTCCATTCTTAGACCAGCTGAGCTGTTCCTAACTGCAGTTCCAGGGTCTGTCACCCCCCTCTGGTCTCCATGGGCACTTGCACTCGTGAGCACAGACACACACATGTAAATTAAAAATGAAATCTAACTTTAAAAATGGAATTAATAAGCTGCCTTACATTTCAGTCTGTGTCATGCAGTTCCTTATGCTGCCTCCGTTTTGAACTCTTTGGTGGGTGTCTGTTAGACTGTATTGCCCCCTTGTTCTCTCCTCAAAACAAGCACTGTGCCACCTCTACTGTGCCACCCCTTGGACACTTGTAGCTGCAGCACACACTGTACTTCCTGTGGGTTTAAAAAAAATTTTTTTAAATTATCTTTATGTATATGAGTGTATTACCTCCCTACATGTGTGTAAGTGCACCTGTGTTGTGCAGTGTCTGCAGAGTCAAGAAGAGGGCATTGGATACCTTGAACTGGGGTTATGGGTGGTTGTTAGCCACCATGTGGGTGCTGGGAACTGAACCCTGGTCCTGTACAAGAGCAGCCAGTGGTTTTAACTGCTGAGGCAGCTCTCCAGCCCCCTTCCTCTGCTTTTTTATCCTAGGCCATTGAAACTGCCCTGGATTGCCTGAAAAGTGCCAACACGGAGCCCTACTATCGGAGACAGGCGTGGGAGGTGATCAAGTGCTTCCTGGTGGCCATGATGAGTCTGGAGGACAACAAGCATGCGCTCTACCAGCTGCTTGCACACCCTAAGTACGTGGGAGGGCCAGCCTTTGGGACTGGGTGCATCTTGCCACCAGAATTTAGAACTGACATGACTTTGTCTGGAGTGTAGCCCCTCAGTGGTCAAGGCAGCATGTGACCCACCCAGTGATGCTTCTTTTGGCCACTAGAGAAAGTAGAAGGAGAACCAGAAACATGAAAGGGCCTGGTCTCGGTCACACTCACTTCTGTTGTGTGTCTTACAGCTTCCTCTGTTAGGTTGTAAGCTTCAGGGGCTCCAGGGTCAAGGCTCTCTGTTTGGCACAGCTTTTCTCTTGTAGTTTTTTGAGACAGGGTCTCATGTAGCCCATGCTGGCCTCAAACTGAATGTATAGCTGAAGGTGAGCTTGAACTTTATTCTTCTGCCTCCACCAGAGTGCTGGGAGTATACGCCTCATGTGTGCTCTGCACAGTGCTCTACCAACCGAGCCACATCCCAGCCCGTCCCACAGCTATTCTCATGCCTGTTTAGTCATTTATTTACTTCTTAGGATTTGACTTTTATTCACTGTATTTTGTTTTGTTTTTGGAGATAGGGTCTCACTGTGTAACCCTGGTGGACCATGCTGCCCTTGAACACACAGATCCACCTGCCTCTGCCTCTTGATCACTGGGATTAAAGGTGTACACAGCCATCCTGGATGGATTTGACTTTGGCTTTTTTAATTATAAAAGATAAAAGTCAGGCTTTGATTCTTGTTTTTTTGTAATGGGCCATTTTTTTTTTTATATCTGAGTATGTGTGTATGGTGTCACGTGGTATATGCGGGTATGTGTGTGCAGGAGCTGGCTATGCACAAAGGCCAGAGGGTATCCAGTGCTGCTCTCTCACTCTTCTCATTCCTTTGAGACAGGATCTCTCACTGTGCCTAGAGCTGGACTGGTGAGGAGGAAGCCCTATGTATCTCATAGTGCTGTGGTTACAGGAACCATGCTTGGCTTTTTATGTGGGTTAATTTGTTCATTCTTGCCTTTCAAACACTCCTTGATGGCCTTGGCCTGAGGTCTTTGCTGTCATCCTTAACCCCTTCACAGCTACAGCCAGCCTCAATCTGTTTTGCAGAGTCCCTTCCCATTCCCCTAGTGTCTTGTTCTCATCAGCCCTAATTAAATTAGGTTGATTTTTGTGCTCAGCACAAAGGGCGTCCCCACATTGGCATGTATTGGTTCATCACGATTGAATACAAGCACACAAAGATGGGCCTGGCGCTTGTCTGAGGTCTTGGAAGATTCCGTGTGCTGGGACACAGTGAATGAGGGTGTCTTCAGCACACCAGTAAAGTCATGTTCACATCCATTATGCCTGTTGCCCATGGGGATGGGTTAAGCCAAATCTTGAGCACGCTTAAGGTGAGTGCTTGGTGACAACAGGGAAAGCCTCCCTTGACTCACCATCCTCTTCGGGGTTCTGTTTGTTTTTGAGGCAGGGTCTACCTGTAGCTCCAGCTGGTCTCTTACTTGACCAGGCTGGCCTCAATCTCACACAGATCTACCTGCCTCCTGTCTCCCAAGGGCTAGGACTAAAGGTGAACATCACCATGCCCGGCCTTCATTGACTCCTAAAGTAGAAAATGCTGGTGAAAATACTGCTGCTGTTCCAAAATGTACCTCCGATTCTGTGTTGTATTTATGTTAGGTAGAATACGTTTGGTTGGCACACTGACCATAAATATAGATTAATAAAATTTCTATCTGGCACCAGATGCTGCTGAAATCAAAAAATAAATTCACTCACTGGTGACAGCTGGGCATAGTAGCACAAGCTTTTAATTCCATCAGAGGCAAAGTCCAGCGGATCTCTTGAGTTTTAGGCCATCCTGTTCTATGTGGCAAGTTCCAGTCCCCAGAGGAGCTACACCACGAGACCCTGCACCCCTTAAAAAAAACAAAGGAAATTTTACAGTATTTGGCTTAGTGGTTAAGAGCACTGGCTGCTCTTGCATAGGACCTGGGTTTGGTTCTCAGCAGCCACATGACAGCTAACTGTCTGTAACTCAGAGGGAAACTGGTCTTCATGGGCACTCAGCACATACGTGGTGTACCTATATACATGTAGGCAAGCACTCATACACTTATATAAATAAGTCTTTTTAAAAAAGCTGGAAAACTTGTACTCCTCAGCTCAGGGACTAGGCGCTTTGGTGATGGCTGTTGTTCTGTCTTTCAGCTTTACTGAAAAGACCATCCCCAATGTCATCATCTCGCATCGCTACAAAGCTCAAGACACTCCAGCCCGGAAGACATTTGAACAGGCTCTCACTGGGGCCTTCATGTCCGCAGTCATCAAAGACCTGCGACCTAGCGCCCTGCCTTTCGTAGCCAGCTTGATTCGTCACTACACCATGGTGGCTGTGGCCCAGCAGTGTGGTGAGTGCAGGTCCTCTGGGAGCAGCCCCTTAGTCCCCGAGTTTAAGTGTTACAAAAACTCAATCCAGAGAGAAGCTGAGGCTCTGTGGTGGGCACCGTATCCATGTAGAAATTACTACCAAGATTTGTCTCATTTAACCTTTAGGCCCTGTGCTAGTGTGAGAAATGGGGGTTCCCTACATTGAGCAAACCACATGTAAAATAGAGGTGGATGAGCTAGAGATGGCTCAGTGGATTCAGGCACTTGCCACCAAGGCTAATGGCCTGAGTTTGTTGATTTCTGGGACTAATGTAGGGGAAGGAGAGAACCCACTCCCAAAGGTGTCCTCTGACCTCCATGTGTACATGCACATACATACAAACACACACATGTACACATGCACACAATAAATAAATAAATGTAGTTAACCACCCCCCCCCAAAAAAGTAAAAACTATAGCAACAGCAAACCAAAGGTGGTTTCTGGCCCACTCTGCTGGCAGTTTTCCAAGGCCAGCCTTCCCCCTTGGCTCTCGCCCCCAATACCCTGCAGCCTGTTCTTGCCCCTCCCCTGCAGTGATCATGGCTTCCCCCTGACAGTCCCCCACACTGTTCCTCCCACCTGGGGCAGCTGTGCGGCTCTGGCTTCATGGCTCTCATGCTCCTGGTGGGCAGGACTGGTTGTTTGTTCCCATATTGATTTCCAGTCCTTTGCAGAACATTTTTTTCATAAAACGATATGTCTGTGGCCCCGCCAGTTGCCTTACAAGTTGCAGTTCTCTCTTTATACTGTGCATTCTGGGCATTGAACTCGGGTTACCTTGCTTGTGTGGCAAGTGCGTTTACTCGCTGATCAATCTGTCTAGTGCTGCTCCCTGCCCTCCCCTCCTTTTTTTTAATTTTAAATTTTTCAACAGGATCTGTCATGTAGCCCAGGCTAGCTTTGAACTTGATTTTGGTCAAGGATGTCCCTGATCTTCTCATCCTGCCTGCACTGCTGGTACTGTGAATACAGACGTTCACCACCATGCCTGCTTTATGTGGTGCTGGGGATGGAGCCTAAAGTTTCGGGCATACTGGGCAACACCTGAGCTACATACCTAGCTTATTTTTGACTTTTGACTGAAAAAATTAGAAAATGATACAGTATATTGTAGGAAACATTCAGAAAATGAGCCATAGTGTAAACCAGACTATGTTGTTTTTAAATAATTGCAGTTTAGTGGAGGTTGGTTAAATACTAGGGCTGGGGCTAAGGAGGTGGCTCAGCCAGTAAGGAGGCTTGCAGGCAGACCCTGGTACCCAGGTTTGATCCTTAGGACTCACATAATGGAAGAAGAGTACTGTCTCCCATAACTTGTCCTCTGACCTCCACACATGTACCACAACACATACACTATGGCACCCCTTCCCCCAGTAAAATGAAATTAAATGACTAGTGCTGGCTTTTAGTGAGTTTTTAACCCAAGGAAAAATGAAGTCATCTAGTAACTTGAGGGCAAGGACATGCCTGTGAATGAACTTGCTGAGTTGCCTGCCTCTCTTCTCTAGGTCCTTTCTTGCTGCCTTGCTACCAGGTGGGCAGCCAGCCCAGCACAGCCATGTTTCACAGTGAAGAAAATGGCTCCAAAGGAATGGATCCCTTGGTTCTCATTGATGCCATAGCCATCTGTATGGCCTATGAAGAGAAGGAGCTCTGCAAAATCGGGGAGGTGGCCCTCGCTGTGATATTCGATGTCGCAAGCATCATCCTGGGCTCCAAGGAGAGGGTAAGGGGGGACTGAACAGTATCTTCTGAGTTTAAGGGGGTGTGCTGTTCTGGAAACTGGTGGTTTAGCTTTGTTGGTTTCTCTGCAGGCCTGCCAGCTGCCCCTCTTCTCTTACATCGTGGAGCGCTTGTGTGCCTGCTGCTACGAGCAGGCCTGGTATGCAAAGCTTGGCGGTGTGGTGTCCATCAAATTTCTCATGGAGCGCCTGCCCCTCACCTGGGTTCTGCAGAACCAGCAGACATTCCTCAAAGCACTCCTCTTTGTCATGATGGACCTGACCGGAGAGGTAGGTGACACAGGGCCCCAAGGCTCAGTAACCACACTGCTTGCCTTAGCCAATCTGCCTGGGCCTCTTGCCAAGTACACAGTATACTCTTCCCAGCTGAGGAACTTAGATGCTTGGTTTCATTATGGCATCTTGAACTCGGGGATGGCCCCTAACACTCATGTGCCATCTCCAGGTACTTTAACATAAGTTCACTTCATTCAGACCAGTTTGATGCTTAGATGTATCTGACAGAGACGACTTCCTAGGTCTGCAAAGGTCCCGCAGACATGACGTTCTTACTATTGTGTTTATTTATTGCATTCACTTACTTTGTGTGTGGGGGTACACATTTGCCATGAAGCACGTGTGAAGGTCAGAGGACAGCTTGCTGGAGCCAGCTTCTTTCTCCGCCCTGTGGGTTCTGGGATTAAACTCAGGTTGTCAGGTTTGGTGCCTTTACCCACTCAGCCATGTCACTGGCCAAGGTGGGGCCTTCTTTAGGAACCTATATGCAGATCTGACCCTTCCTTGTAGAATCTGGTGGGCACTGTACCAGAGGGTCAGTGTCATATGCAGATTACCTTTTCTGAAGGACAAACAAGAATATCTACGGGAGGTAATTTGGGTCCTAACATACCAAGTGGAAGCTATGTAATTGTCAAGGCCATGCTCCCTCTAGGGACACATGCCTTGTGAGCGTGGTGGGTGGCACCACCCTGCTTTCCTCCTAAGGCCTCCCTGACCTCCAGGTTTCCAATGGTGCAGTCGCCATGGCAAAGACGACCCTGGAGCAGCTTCTGATGAGGTGTGCGACGCCGTTAAAAGATGAAGAGAGAGCGGAGGAGATTGTGGCGGCTCAGGAGAAATCTTTCCACCATGTGACCCATGATTTGGTTCGTGAAGTCACCTCTCCAAACTCGACCGTGAGAAAGCAGGCTATGCACTCGCTGCAGGTCCTGGCCCAGGTCACTGGGAAAAGTGTGACAGTGATAATGGAACCGCACAAAGAGGTGAGATTCTGGACTGCAGAGCTGGCTCAGCAGTTAAGAGCACTGGCTACTCCTGCAGTGGACCCATTGCACCCACATGATGGCTCAGAATTGTCTAAAACTCCAATTCCAGGGGATCTGGCATCCTCTTCTGGTCTCTGGCACTGTATGCACATACATACATGTAGACAAAACACTCATACACATAAATTAAACCTAAATAAACATAACAAAAAAATAAGAGATTGTTATACACCAGGATTCTATTTCTTTCAAATCCGAGTTACAAATATGCTGTTTATGATTTCACATCCATATCAGAAGTACTGTTCACAGCTGGGTATGGTATGTTGTCTCACACCTTTAACCCCAACACTCAGGAGGCAGCAGCAAAGGAGATCTCTGTGAGATTGAGGCTAACCTGGTCTACATAGTGAATTCCAGGCCAGGTGGGGCTAAAGGGATACCCTGTCTCAAAAAACCAAAACCGAAAAAACCCAAAGACAAAAAGAACCCTCCAAAACTTAGCATATTCTTTGGAACCTTAGATAGGCAAACAGCAGTACATATCTGTAATTTTTAATGAGAATAGAACTAGTTCCTGAGCATGTCTGTCACTGGGTGGTAGTTTCATTGTTTTATGTGAAGTCATTCTGGAGCATTGAAAACTGAATTTATCTGATGTGCTGTCTATACCTCAGTGGTAGCACGTGAAGCATGTCCTTTCTCCTTAATAAAATTTCAGGCCTCTGTAATGACTCTTCTCTCCCTGTTTTCAAATCAGTCGTGTGGAATATGGAGATGAGAGACCTTAGCTTTTTGGGGGGCAGCTGGTGAGTGGCACCATCCTTGGTTCTTTCCCAGGTCCTTCAGGACATGGTCCCACCGAAGAAGCATCTGCTGCGGCACCAGCCTGCCAATGCGCAGATTGGCCTGATGGAGGGCAACACCTTCTGTACTACACTGCAGCCGCGGCTCTTCACCATGGACCTGAACGTGGTGGAACATAAGGTGTTCTACACAGAGGTAAGGTATATGGTGCTGTGGATGTGAATGACTGGGTCTCCAGACATCTGTATGTGAGGTCAGCAGCCTGCAGAAAAGGCTGGGGCAGCCCCATTCACAGGACTATTCAAGTATTTGAGTTGTGGCCTTGTCTGTGTTTGCCCAGGGTTGAGGAAGCACACTTACTACCATGGGATTGGCAGTTAGAAAAAAATCCTGCCGTCAAAGCAAATGGGTATAATTTAACTGTAATGATCTTAGCTGAGTTTTATTCTTGAGTATGGAAGTTCGGTATCATAGTTCAGTGCTTAATTTCTTTAAGCTCTGTTTAATTCATCTTGTTATTTGGGTTGCAATGTCTGTGAAGGTTGTTGGGTGTCCTCCCAGGAGAAGTGGGTTAAAGTAAATGCCTTTTCCCTCCTAGCTGCTGAATTTGTGTGAGGCCGAGGATTCAGCTCTGACCAAGCTACCCTGTTACAAAAGCCTTCCATCGCTTGTGCCTTTACGGATTGCAGCATTGAGTAAGTGAATGTTAATGTGAGTCAAGCTATAGGGCATAAAGTATGAAAAGGGTGATGTGGTCTTTGTTGTTTCAATTTTCTAGTTTTGTGTGGTCTTTTAAAGTCAGGATCAAAAATTATGTTTGTTTCTGGGCATGGTGGTGCTTGCATTTAATCCTACCACTCAGGAGGCAGAGGCAGGCAGATCTCTGAGATTGAGGCCATCCTGGACTACATAGTGAGTTCCAGGCCAGCTGTGGCTACAGGGAGACCCTGTCTCAAAAAAAAAAAAAAATCATGTTTGTTGTCAGCTGTGTACACTGTTGGGTTTGAAATAGTTTTGTGCCCTGTAATAAACTAGATTTTACTCTGTAGAAAACATTTTAGTCTCTATATATTTTGAGACTCAAATGTTTTGACTTAAGAGAACTGTCCTACCATCAGAGTTAAAGTGTCACAGTGAGGGTGCCACAGTCTTAGGTGGATTCTAAAAGACTTGCTTATTTTTATGTGTGTATTTTGCCTGCATGTATGTAAGTTACCCATGTTGTACAGTGCCCACAGAGCCCAGAAGAGGGTGTCGGATCCCCTGGAACTGGAGTTACAGACAGTTGTTAGCAGCCATGTGTGTGCTGGTAACCAAACCCAGGTCCTCTGCAAGAGCAGCCAGTGCTTTTAACTGCTGAGCCATGTCTCCAGCCCCTTTAGAGGATTGCCAGTGACAAACATTGGAGAATCCTGTGGTCTCTCAGTTTTCACTGCAAATTTCCGTTTTCATATTTTAGCACATGAATCGTACACAGTTTAGGGAAATGGACTAGATAAAAAGTAGTTGGGCCTTGTGACAGGGAATAGCGGCCTCCTGTCTGACTGTTTTTGTCTTAGTCCTTTATCCTTTGTCTTGGTTGGTCTCCTTCCTTCTTCTCTTACTTCTTGAATCAATATCCAAGATAAACTTTTTTTTTTTTTTTTTTTTTTTTTTTTTTAAAAAAAAAAAAAAAAAAAAAAAAGAGGACGATAAATCTTTCACTGTGATATATCAAAATAA